GCAGAAGCGGCAGCCGGGACTTAGGCGCGGCTCTGGAGTTTAGCAGTGCAGAGAAACTCATGTTCTGAGGGAAAGGAATCCGTAACTAGTTTGGGAAACCGGGGGGGAGAACGCGTGGGTTCAATGGAAGCGCTGCCAGCTGTGTACCACCAAAGCGGCCAGTAGCTAGAATAATATGCCCCCCCCCCCCGTGTTTGTTACTGCAATGCAATCATTCTGTTTCCTAGACCTGTGCTGAAATTATGTAACAGACCATAATTTTTTGAGCCCTGCAATTCCTAATAATTCTGTCACCCTGCCCTAAATATGCATTCAAAGCCATTTTTCACATACAGCCCACATCAACACTGAGATCTTGCAGGGACCCCTTCCACTAGATCGGGTTGCTCAAAGCCCCATCCAGCCTGGCCTCAAATGCTTCCAGGGATGGGGCATCCACAACTTCTCCAGGCAACCTGTTCCAGTGTCTCACCACCCTCACAGTGAAGAATTTCTTCCTAGTATCTAATCTAAATCTACCCTCTACTCCACTCGGGACAGACTATTCACTGGTACTGCTAAACAATAATTAAAGAGTCTTTATTTTGGATTAAACCAGTTTCTGGTTGGTATAACCAGAAGCTGAATCAAACAAACAAACAAACAAACCAGTTCAGAAACTAACTTTCCTTCTCAGTTGCTGATCCCTCACCCAAATCTTCCAGGTTTCATTCATTCATCTGAATTCCTTCTGTCCTTTGCCAGTTTTAACCCCAGCTCAGGTCCTCTGTCTGCTCAGCTGATGATCTGATTCACCTTAGCAATTTTTCATGTCTTGCCTCTCTTATCCAGCATCGGCCCCGAAAAGGTGATCCTCTGCCTTCATGACACGTTTCATCTGAGGAGCACAAAAGATCTTAAAATATTTTAACACTGAAGTAAGAAATAATATGACCCCCGGTTACAGACAGGAATACCAAAGGAGAAACTTACATATACTGCAGAATAAATTAACCCATATGACACTCCATGCTGCTGTAGTCCTAGATCATTTCTAGGACTTGAACTAGAAAGTTTAAGCATGCAGACAGACTTGGGTGGCTTAGCTAAGGTTATGTATAATAAGCACAGCAGTACTCTCACTGCATTGGAAATTCTGATTTCAAGACACCCTCTCCTATTTTCCAAACTACATTTAACCCCTGCCATAGATTATATTACAATTTGCAAAAGAGAAACTGATTGGGTAACATAACTCCCTTCCTAGTAAGAATAAAATGTATTTTTAGCACTTTTGTTGCCATGGTCTGTTTTGCTTATGATTACTATTCCTTGCAGTTACTGATGCATCATTTTTTACTCTCCATTTAGTTCGTGATTTCTGGTCTGAAGGATACTGTATGCTGCCAGATCATCTTTGAATTACGGTAAGACTCATGGATTTTTGTATTTTGAAAGAGAACCAGGGAACTGTGTTTTGTCACACATTTCCCTACTGTCTCCAGTTCAGTGGCAAGTAAAGCTAGATGTTCTAGAAGAAGATACTTCCTTTAAAGCTACCCAAAATAAAACAGAGGTTCACAGAATATTCTTCCTAGGAATTCTGCTCAGAAAAGTTTCAACCTTGCCTCTCATTTTGCAGCCACAATCAAGTGCAACCAATTTTGGAAGCCTGAAGCTAGTATTTGAAAGTGGGTGGGATCTCTAATTAGTTGACAAACTATCAAAATAAGTTTTTACAAAGACCAGTTCTTTCATGGGAATAGGATAAAGATTACATCCGTTAGGATCTCTGTTATATTTGTTTACCAAGATACATAAGGAATCTCTCTACAACTACCAAAGTTTGGTGGATCAATATTAAGTGTTTTGCAGGAAACTGCCATCTTCTACTCACATTTAAGATCAAGGGACTCCAAGAAAATAGATTAATTCTGCCTACTCCTCTTGGCCAACAGTTTGGCTTTGCTGTTTAGGATAATACATCCTTCAGCCCCAGAAATTCCTAACACATATACGTATGCTGGTAGAATTACAGACATGCACCGTCTCCTATCAGCAGGTTAATTGACCAATTCGCCTCACAAGTCAATGCATTAGCTAAATGGAATTTTGAGAAAGATACAAGTTTTACTTGTGTATGCTTCTAAAGAACATGAACATTATATAAGGAAAAACTTTGGTGGATTTCTTTCTCCAGAAAATAGTACAGAAGTGAATCCTAAATGGGACAGCTTATCTTACATTTTTAATCTTTTTCATACAAATCTATCTCCATTATGCCTGGATAATTTCTTTAAACCAGAAATCAGAAAACCTTTGGTTTACCTTGAAGAAACGTGCATATATGCATGTGCATATTTTAAGAACACTGTACAGTAACAGACTGTGAAATCATAAACTAAAGGTAATTAGAAAATAAGTTTAGAAATGAAAAAAAGAAATACAAATCTTATGCTTGAAAAGCAAGTATAAAAATGATGGGAGAAGGTAGAAGAGAAATAAGATGGAGGGGATAACACACATGAAAAAAGGAGGGAAAAAAACCCTGAATATCTATACATACAATAAGTGAACTACTCTAGGAATCTTGATAATTGGCTCAGAATGGCAGCTGGTTTCCTTTGTGCTGTAAGAGCGTTGGTAGGATACTGCAGAGAAATAGAGAGTATACATGGCAAGGAAAAAGAATTAAGCGAAGTCAAAGACTGGAAACATAAAACAACAGGGAATATGAAGATATTATCTACCTAACTGGAATGTGTGAATTTGTAGAAGGATTTGCTCAAAAGTAGGCACATACAATCCAGCTGCAAAACTGTGATGTTCGCCACTGCCACAAAACTGGTGGGATCCATCTTTGCGAAGCCCTTTCCTTAACAGTCATCGAGTGCACTCAGGAATCCTATGGTAGGCCAGGCAGAAGAGAGACATACTGTTTGAGCACATAAACACCCCGTGTTAGATACGATCATTTAAATGTAGCCCAAGCAAGAGTTCAGAAAATCGACAAAGTTGTGGAATACTTTAACATTCCTGGGAAAAAAAAAAAGGTATATGCAAAGGCTATCTCTGCTAATTTGTGTAAAGGATGTTAACTCCCCAGCTGGCCTTGAAATAATAACGGAGGTAGGTGTGAGAGAGATCCATACCTTCTAGCAATGCTGCCCATAACCTTAAAACGAAATGGGAAAAAATCCAGATATTATCTCCCATTATTGAGATGAACTTTTCCATTCATCCTCTCCTGATAGGAAGAATGGTGGTATAAACTAGAAACCGTAATATGTGCTTTTAAAATCTCAGAATGTTTTAATGAGTTCCCTTCCTTTTTCCTCAGTCACTAGATCTCCCAATGCATTGGTATTGCTATCACAGAAAATTACCAAGAGCCTCACAGATCCAAATGGTTGACAGAAGCTGCCAAACCAGTATGTAAGGTAAAAGTCCATATGATTTACATGTAGTCAAGTATTATACCAATGAGCAATTCATAAATTCATTAAATACTCCTGCATTTCATATTTTGTAGGAAAAAAACCTTTAAAAATCACAGTGGCTTTTACATCCTTGCTTCCCAATGAAACAAAACTGACCTGAGAAATGCCTGTTCACTTGGTATTTACTTCCCACCACACCCGCTTTGAAACTTAGCAGCCAGTTTGGCAAAGGCAAAACGTTTCAAATGCAGTTAAGTTCCTTTACCTGTTGTAAATCTGGTCAATGGAGAAAAATTCATACTGTTTCCAAGTGGCTGGCCAGGCAGTCATAATTCTAGTCTACGTATCCTTTCTATGTGGATAGAACATCCCATGCCTTGCCCAGAGAAAATGTTATTGTAAGCATGAAGGAAAAGAGTAATTAAAGGAAGACACAAATCTGTATAGAAGTGAACTTCAGAGAAAGGGTGCATGATTTTTTTCCATAAATATTATTTTGTTAAAGCAAAGCATACCACACGTTGAAGGACCTTCATTCACTATTCTCTCCAGTATGAGATACTGTCAACCCCTGAAGGATACAAAAGTGGTAACTGGCATAATATAGCAAGTATGTTAATTATCATAGAATCATTAAGGTTGGAAAAGACCTTTGAGATCATTGAGTCCAACCATTAACCTAACACTGCCAAATCCACCACTAAACCGTGGCCCTGAGCACCACATCTACACGTCCTTTAAATACCTCCAGGGATGGGGACTCAACCACTTCCCTGGGCAGCCTGTGCCAGTGCCTGACAACCCTTTCAGTGAAGAAGTTTTTCGTAATATCCAACCTAAACCTCCCCTGGCGCAGCTTGAGGCCGTTTCCTCTTGTCCTGTCACTTGTTACTTGGGAGAAGAGACCGACCCCCACCTCGCTACCTTCCTTTTTTCCCCTCCCATCTTGTTTACTTTTTGTGCTTAGCTTACATTTCTCAAATGTGTTTTTTCTGGTTGGTTTTGGTTTTTTTAAACAGCGTTGGGCTAAAGTTAGCAGAGGGGGAAAAAAAAACCCCTTGTCTCCCACACACCGCGAGAATGTGATGTCCTGTTTGGAAGCCTCCTCGGCTTCTGCGGGCTCCTCCACGGCCCCTCCCGCACAACCTCCCCACGCTGTCACCCGTGGGCGCGGAACCCGCCGGGGCAGCGGCGGAACCCGCAGGCCACACCTCGAGTTTCCACACGGGCTCCGCCCTGAGGTGAGGCCAGGGAGGGGGCGGCCCGACGCCGGGGAGGCTCCTGCGGCAGGGGCCGCC